AACTTCTTAAGCTCTGAAGTTGAGAATTTCTAAATTAAGGTCGCGTTTATCCTCAATGGCTTAGGTGGGAGTTCAAGGCCGGGTTTTCAACTCTTTCCGAAGCATACTGCCAATGAAACTTTCCGCAAGTTAAGAGTGAAGTTTACTTGGCAATTTGACCAAATTTCAAGTGCAAGACTTTCTTGGTTCGGGAGTTACTAATTTTCAAAGTCAATTGGTGCAAGTCTTTCAAAACCCACTATAGGAGTTGAGCAGCCATTTCACAGTTTTCCGGTTGTCGCACGCCAATGAAAGTTTTCGTCCGTGCAGAATGAAGTTCCGTGAATATTTTGTAGAAGTATCAAGTCGCCAACTTCATTGCCTTTGAAGTTGTGAATTTTTAAACTTATGTCGCGTTTATCCTTAATTGCTTACTGAGAGTTTAAGGCCGGGTTTCTAACTCTTTCTGAAGCAGGATGCGAATGAAACTTTCCTCAACTTAAGAGTGCAGTTCACTCGACAATTTCACGAAATTTCAAGGTTATAACTTTCTTGGTTCGGGAGTTATTAATTTTCAGAATCAATTCGTTTCAATTTTTAATCAATTTTTGGCCCAGAGTTGGCTACTGATGCCTTTATGCAACTTGGCCTAACTCCCAACTTGGAAGTTGCGGTTGATGCGGTTAGAAGACGCAACTATATGAAAGTGCCGAGTGAGTTTTGACGAGTTTTTGCGCCACTCGCTGCTAGATTTGACACGCTCCAACTCCCAACTGGGAGGAGCTGGAAAGCTCCCGTACTTCCAAGGGAGTTTTGGCGGAAACTCGCAACCAGTGAGAGTTGGCACAGTGATTTTTCCATCGTCCAGCCGAGAAACAGGACAAAGGACAGTCCAATTGACGAATGCCGTCGATGTTCCCTTAATTGTGTTCGATTTGTTTGAGCCGGCCAACAACAACTAATTGAAAAGCTGAGCCCCATCGGCTGGCAGCAGCGCCATTACAGGCACATGTTCCTGTAAAAAATGGGGCCCCATAAAGTGTCAGTAAATCCGACGGGGCCCCAATTTACGGCCGGGACCTCTAAACTGGACGTAACGTCACAATTAATCGGCGCCACTGATTAATGTCGATTCGCCAGTTGAGAGGAGGAGGAGGAGGAGAAGAAGAAGAATTTTAGGGAGTTGTTTGTTTCGCTTTGTTGCCAGCTCGCGCCCGGGCGCAGCTTATTATTATTTATCGTGTTTCCTTCCGAAGTTAGCAAGTGTTACCGCTTGTTCTCGAAAGCTCGTTTAGCCCTCGGGCGATTTATTTTATTTGCCACACAAAAGACCGCTCCGGCCCCCGGACTAGTTTAGTGCGAGAGCAAAACCAGTGACAGTCAAGAGTCAGATCAACTTACGACTACAGGAAAAACCCGAAATCGCGCCTCAACTCCTGCAGTGAGCGTCTAAAGAATGGCACTCATTGTTTTTGAAAATTCGCAACTCCTGAACGAAATGAGAGTTTCACTTGAAAACTGGCCTGATTCTCCAGTAAACTCCCCTATTGACTTCCGGAAAGTTTCACTTGCTTTTAACGGCAAAAAGAGTTGAAATCACGAGCTTCAACTCCTCTAGTGTGCAAATGTGGGCAAGCACGACAACAACTTCATAAATTCACAACTTCAAAACCAACCAACGTGGCATCTTTGAACTTCCAGCAAATCACCACCAGACTTCATTTGACATACCGTCAAAGTTTCATCAACTTACGACTTCAGAAAGAATGTGAAATAAATCCGCAGCTCCTACAGTGAGCAGTGACAGAAGTGAGCGCATTGCTTTCGAAAATTCACAACTCCTGCACCAAGTGCGCAGTTCACGTGAAATTTCACCAGCTCGCCCAGTAAACTCCACCGTTGACTTCCGGAGAGTTTCATTTGCCTTCAACGGCGAAAGGAGTTAGAATCACGACCTTCAACTCTTCTAGTGTGCAAATGTGGGCAAGCACGACACAATTTCAGAAATTCACAACTTCAAAACCAACGAATTTGGCAACTTTAAGCTTCCAGGAAAAGACCGTCAAACTTCATTTGAGATCCCTGAAAAGTTTCATCAACTTACGAGCGCAGGAAGAACGCGAAATCGCGCCTCAACTCCTGCAGTGAGCGTTTAAAGAATGGCACTCATTCCTTTTGAAAATTCGCAACTCCTGAACCAAATGAGAGTTTCACTTGAAAACTGGCCTGATTCTCCAGTAAACTCCCCTATTGACTTCCAGACAGTTTCACTTGCTTTCGAACGCGAAAAGAGTTAAAATCACGCCCTTAAACTCCGCTAGTGTGCAAATGTGGGCAAGCACGACACAACTTCAGAAATTTACAACTTCAAAACCAACGAATTTGGCAACTTTAAGCTTCCAGGAAAAGACCGTCAAACTTCATTTGACATCCCTGAAAAGTTTCATCAACTTACGACCGCAGGAAGAACCCGAAATCGCGCCTCAACTCCTGCAGTGAGCGTTTAAAGAATGGCACTCATT